CGGTGGGTCAGGGACGCTTCTGGCGCCTTGCAGGGTGTCTCTCCCAGACTTTGCGCTGTGGGGGTGGGGCTGGGCAGAGGGGATATCTGTCGGTAAGTAACTGCTGCTTGTCTCTACGAAGAGCTCAGGATTGCCTGCATTTTGCTGGTGCTCGCGTGTTTCAGACGTTTTACATTGCGCTTGTAAGTGTTTTCAAATACGACCCAGATCTTTTCTCACTTTGGTAGGCCAAGTGTCCCGAATATAATAATAATAATAATATATAATAATAATAAAATAATAATAATAATCTCTTCGATTTTTTTTTTTTTTTTTACTTCAAATGTTGTATCAGCTTACGTTTAGTTCAGTACTTCTGCGTATGTTGTTTTAACTGTTTTGATGTTTCACTTGACTCGGGCACATTATGTGGTTTGTGACTATTAAAGCTTTATATTTTGGAAATGCATGGGTTTAACAATACGGTGAATTGATTGAACTAATCAGATGCTGGATCATTCCACGCACAACCAGAAAACATATAGAGATAAATTAATTTCCCAACGGCGGTTGTCTATTGTACATATGACAGCTTTTCAGGACGAAAGTGGTTGAGTAATTGAAAGAATGAAATATTTAGTTCTGCTTTGTCTCTTTAAATGATCTAATTCATTAAATTTCATATCGAAATGTCGACATAACCAAACAGGCTCCGTTTTGTTTTGCTCATGGTCGAGATGCATCGGGAGTTGGGGATGACCAAGTGGATTGCGCATGATAATCCCTGATCCTAATAGCGGGTGGACATGAGCAGGCAGTGACTTGTTCGAGCGAACTTGGTTGATTCGGGCCGTTTTGGCGATAATGGCCAGAAATAAAGAGAAGTACCACGTAAATTGAGGTTCTGTTGGGGAATGTTTAACTGCACAATGAATCCATGGGCCCAAGCCCATGACACTTCGTACAACTTTGTCTTGCGAGTACTATATTTAAATACCGCTGCAATGCAGAAGAAAAAAAATGTGACAGGCCTTCCTCGTATATTTTCAAGAACGAGAAGGCGGCGGGTGCAAGACGACGGGCGAAAATGTCGTAAATGAATTTGGGGGGGTTGTTGTGCGCATCATGTTCTGTGATTGTTCATTTTGCCCCTCTTTTTATAGGGCTTGGGTCATCGCCATATCAGGAATAGCAGGGCGGCGCTGGAAGTTGCGCCGGTAAAAATCCCAGGGTCTTTATTGGGGAGGTTTCGGACAACGTTTTTATCGGGCGTGCGCGGGTGACTTGGAGGCGTGATATAGTAGCGCTCGTAAACAAGCGTGCGCAAATGCGGCGGGTCGGCAGCGTCTCCTCTTTTGAACTGCTGCAAGGTTAGCGGGGGAGGGGTCAGAAAGGATGAGCGTGCTCTGGGTCGGCGGTTTGAACACCCAGTGCGGGGAGCAGGTTAAAAACGCGGGAGCCAGCGTAAAACGCGATCTGAGTGGCCTACATTTCTTGTAGCGATTTCTCGCTCCTTACGCTTTTGTGGATGGTTCCAGTGATCAATTGAACAGATATGTTCTGGCAATATTGTGTCAGTTTCATAATGAAATGCATAATTATGTAGAAAATAGAACGATTTCTGTTAGAAGTGGCCCTAAGTATTTCCGACAAATAATTCATCTTTCTATGTTTGAGTTTATATTTTTTTTTTCCTTTTAGGCATTCTCTCGAATTGCAATTGTTGTTTTTTTTAACCATAAATGACTACATGAAATTTGTGCTATAATCTCAGTTATAGGATAGGAACTTGTTTAACGTAATATTTTCTATTGAGTTTAGTTTACTTTATATTTGTATTGAATGGATGAGGAAGATGTACGATTATGTGTTTTTGTGATCGTGCGTTGGCCTATAAATCTATGACGTATCTGGTTGAATTTGGTATATTTCATTTTTTTGCTAATATTTGGTCAGATTTTTTAATGTTCTTCATTTTTGTTTTTGCAGGTGAGTGCGGCTGTTGGTGCTCTTTGCGCTAAAGGGTGGGTGAGTAATGTGGGCGTGTACTGTTGGAATGCCTTGAACGTTATTCGTTGTAACAGTCTCTCATTGGGTCAGTATAGCAGCTTGGTAACTTAATCTAACACTTATAATGATAACTTACAGTTGTCGGGGGGTTTTTCAACTTGTATTCCGGCGCATTCGTCTGACAGTGCAAGTGCCTTGCTTCAAAGAATAGTTTGCAATTATCAAACTTGTTTTTATTATTATATTATTATTATATTTTTATTATTGATTATTTATTATATTATTATTAATTATTGTTTTGGTTTGGGGGTTGTTTGCTTGGATAGTGTAGCGTATGTCTACACGTGTGATAGTATTAGAGTCGTTTAAGGTTTGACAATAATTAGCAGCACTCCGCAGACGTGCGAAACAATAGTATATGCGTGAGCGAAAAAAACAGGAAGTGGTGAGGTCTGGTGCGGACGGCTTTAAAGAGGCGCGCGCGTGCCTGGTTTGAGCGCGCCGGCCGTTGTTGTCTAGTCGCAGGTGGCGTCAAACGGGGGTGCGGCTGCTGGGCGCGTGTGCACGCCGCCGCAGCCCTCGCCTCGCCCGCCCCGTCCCCGCGCAGATGACACGTTAGAGAGCTTGACAGCGCGATTGTGCGCTGTCTACCACCGGCACCTCCTGCACTCGCCGCACGCTCTCGGCTTACAGCTCACGCTGCTCGGTCGGCAGTGGGTGCTGAGATTGGAAAGGTGGTGGGACAGCGAGAATGGCGTATGTGTACTATGTTATGCAATTTTTATTTTCGCGTAGGGCCAATACTCGGACATGCCGTACATCCCGTTTTCAGGAGGTGCTTGTGTTTTCGGGGGGGGGGGGCAGCAAATTTCACTGAATCAGAATTCTTTACGATCCCAGAGGTTGTTAGCCTGAGGGATGGACGATGACATGAATGGGAGAACGAACGAGGGCACATCATATAGACATATACAAAATATCACCGTGGTTCCGAGGCGGGACTGGAACCGCGGTCTTCTACTGCTTCTACGGCCTACTGCGTACGATCTCGGCGCATCTGACCGGCCCCAATTCTATTCGTTTGGTACGACATTCTACATTAGTAAAATAAGTATGGTGCTAGATGTTTTATTATATCCTTAACAGTTCGTAGGATTCTTTGGTAAACATCGTTAATATATTGTTGAAAATTAATCTGCTCGTTCATACAAATTGTGTACGACAAATATTTTTTTTTCATATCTACCCTTTTTCTAAGGTTGAGTATTTTATTTTTAAGTCGTGTTGTTACTAAAAGCTGCGAGATGGCGCCTACACGTATGTAGCAACGCTTGAGTTGCGTGCGTGGAACGAAGTGAGTTGTAACTTGGGTAGAAAATAGAGCAGGTCTTTTCGTGACGTGATGATTAACAAGGGTTACAGCAAAGGCTGGAAAGCGAAAATTCGTCCTTAGGAACAGCTGTTTATATGTTTTGCGTGCGCCATGTATTATCTCGGGCAGACGTCGAACCACTTGCCGCAGTAGCATAATTATGAATGGAGATAAGGTCATGTTTTTATTAAGATTATTCGAATATGACGCTATTAACCGAGATGGTAGCCGTTTTTCAGCAAAACATGGAGAGGATTCGCGTTTATTTCTAGATAAGAAACAACTGAAAAGGTGTAGACTTATTTTCTGGAGGTTGTAGGGATTTGGCGAACCTTCTGAAGCGTACATAATAAATTGAGGTATTTTGAGATTTGGCAGCTGAAACTCGTTGATTACTATAATCGCGTGACTGGAAAAGCAGAAGTCTGATAACGGTGAACCCGCTTACGTGTTTGTTCGCGTTTGTCAATCGATTGAACTTTATGTAAACCGTTTGTAATTAGTTATTAGAACTTTACAAAAGATTGATGAGATCGGTGCTGAATTGTTGAATCTTGTAAGCGCATGCGCAGCGCGAGGCGTGGGCGCAGGTGGCGGGCGGCGCGCCCGCGCGTGTCATTGCGCCCGCACGCACGGCTGCGCGCCTCCCCTTCCCCTGCGCGCGCAGGTCGACGCATCGCCAGCGGGTCGCGCAGCACGGGGGCGGCCGCGGGCGGGCGTTTGCGGAAGCGCGGGGGAGCAAATGAGCGCAAATAAGCGGAATATGACGTGCGACAGCATGCAGCACGGCGGCTGTAACGGATTACCCACTGTGTTGAATAATTAGATTTAATAAAATGAGAAATTAAATGATTCGATTTCCCAACGAACAATATTGGTAAATTATTTACATAAGTGGCGGGTATTAAAGGATAAATGAACCAGATAATTAATTTCCAATTCCCCGTCGAGCAGCATGTAACGTTACTACGTGACCACGAAATTTAACACTACATTGTTCCTATTCCAAAATACCAGAACGATGCCCTAATATTCTCGTAGCTACGCCGTTGTAGTACCCTACGTTTGAAACTAAAAATTTTGACGGATTACCTAACTTCACGTTAAAATCGCTCATTTACTCGCAAATCTAGCATTTGGCATTACACTAATGTTGTCGAGAGCAGCGGTGGATGACCAGACGGACTGTTAAATTTGCAATTGAAATGTTGGAAACCGTTGATACGCAGTTTTGAAAAGAGAAATTTAGTTACAAATAACAATTATAGAATTTATATTTCGTTTATACGAACATCATTTTTATAAAACAAAATTTAAAAAATCGTCACACAATCTTTAGAGGTTATTTAATTGTTATGAAACTAGTATTTTTGTTCATATTATAAAATTAAGTTTACAGAAATACTACATTTCTGCATTTTTCTTTGTAATTACTTTAAGGATTTTTTGGTCTAACCAAAAAATATAAATACAGTAAACCCTCGTTAACACGAACTCCAAGGGACTGAAATAATCGGTGTTTTTGTTGTAATAATGTGTGTCCCTTTCGTGTCAAGGCAGTTGGTGCCAATCGCTGATGGTGGGACGTGTGTGTTGGCAGGATGTGGAGATCGCGCCGGGCGCGCTGCCGGCGTGGCTGATGGAGCTGCACGTGGAGGGCGGGGCGGCGGTGCGCGTGCAGGCCGGCGCCTTCTCCGCCGTGCGCGACGTGCGCCTCGTCAACGTGAGCGGCGCCGGCAGCGTGGTGGTGCGGCGCCACGCCTTCCTCAACGTGTCGTCGCAGCACGTGTTCCTGCACGCGGCCGACTGCGCCGCCGTCGTGCTCGAGTCGCACGCCTTCCGCGCGCCCGCCGGCCCGGCCTCGCTCGAGGTGCGCCGCTGCGGCCACGTCGTGGTGCAGAGCGCCGCCTTCGCCTGGCTGCTGCGCGCGCACCTGCACGGGGTGGTGCGCCTCGAGCTGGCCTCCAACGCCTTCGCCCTCGAGCAGCCCGACGGGCGCCGCCACGGGCCCGCGCCCTCGGTGAGCACGCGCACGCACACGCGCCCCCCTCCCCGCTGGAGGGAGAATAAATTCATCATTCGACATCCCCATCACAATAATTCAATTCTCGTCGACCATCACGTATTCTCATCACTCCTCCTCGTTAACCTCTAATACCCGAGTTGCCAATAATATGCTAAGTTCCACTTTCGCCACTGACTTATGCAGAAGTTACTCAAATGGTTCTATTCCTTCTTTCTCTTTACTCATTCTTCTTGTAATCTCCCATCCTAAGCGGGTCCTTTGTGACGCATACCCTAAATCCCGAGCATTAATCCAGCGTTATATTTACTCACGAGAGAACACTAAAGGGCATTGCCTTACTAGTAGACAGCTCACATCGCTCACCCTCTCACTTTCAAAAGGACACGAATTCAAGATCTCCCTGGTAACTACGAAACACAATTAAAAACTACTGCTGCACGTGTCGCCCTGACCATTGTAGATTGTGGGTGAAGCATTGGAGGGTGGCGAGATAAACGTCACGACGCACGAGTGCTGCCATATTTTACCACATTAATTTATTTCCATTTGTCAACCAAAACACTCGGGCTAGATTCAGTAGGCTCTTTCCACAGATCGCACTTACTGAAAAAATCAACAATTCTATTGCGGTATTCATAAAGAACCAGAATAAGGAGAAGTAAACGTCGTAGTAAACACATCTGTAGCATATAATTGATACAATTTGCACTATAATTTAACGAAAGGTCGGAATGCTTCCAGAGTAAGTAAGTGTAGAAGACGGAGAACAAAAAAGGTAATTCACGCAGGGAACTTCATGGTAAATAAACGTTACATCTGATACGATCTTTCGAATGTAATTTATTGTTAGTCATGAAAGCGTTAAGTGTAGCATATGATGCACTTCCCAGAAAACGATGTTGCTTCTACCCCTCGAGGGTCTGAAGCGGGGAGACCTGGAGGAGCCAAATAGTATATTTAGGGGGCGGCTAGGCATTAGGGTCCCGAGCGACACACCGAACCCTGCTGATGACGCAGATGTATAGTAACACATACGTATCCTTGTCAACGAGGAAGTGATTGGTGCTGTTGTTTGTTGAAATAAACGACATAGAAGTGTTTCTAATTGACGAGACAGTTCTTATTAATTATTGGGGTAAGTGATTCATACGAATATTTGTAATGTTTCTGAAACGTCCCTTTTCCAAACACAAGAACGACATTAGTCAGTTAATGACGCACGCAGAGTTGGCATCAACCTGAAAAAAGAATGACACATTCTCTTCATATTTAGCATAATTTGCTGCAAACGAAACAATCCAAGCTTCAGTGCAGCTACGCATTAACATGTGTTCCTTAAGGGCAGATCTTGAAGTTCTTAGCTGTCTTCCGTATGTTAATATCATCGCAAATATAAATCTAAAACTCCAAAAACCGTTCGCGTAATTGGAATGAACGTATTTGATGCTACCAGAAATATTTGATTAGATTCCTGATTAGGTGTATGGAGTGGGCAAGCAAGTACCAATAAATGTTCCCGAAGCTCCTGAAAACTGAATACTGATTTGAACTGATTCATTATTAAGTGAGTCGAGTAGGCAATGAAGTAATAAATGCCCACGAAGCTCCCGCAAACCGAATACTTGTGAGAACCGTTTTGTCCTCAGTGCCTGTGCGCAGCCTAGAGGGATCCGTGCGTGCAGGACTGCGCCTCTCGTGCTAAACGTCCGCCGCCGGCCGAGTGCGAGGGCGGAGGGGCGGCGAGCGCGAGGCCTGCGAAAGGGGGGCGTGGGGGGGGGGCGAGGGCGCCACCCTCGGCGCACGCAACGCGCCGCGACCGCGCCCTTCCGCGAGGCGCAGGGGTGCACCCCCGCGGACAACGCGCGCCGGCTCCCCGCGCAGAGCACAGTGCCACCGAACGCCCATTTCAGCTAGCTTTTACCTAAAATATGCAACCCCTATGAAACAAAATAAAGGTCCTATTTATCATCCACGCTGCATAATCGACTTTTGAGCGCAGGGTGACAAACGCTGGAATCTTACCCGTACTTTACATACGAACAGACTCAACAAAACGTGATATCCATTTGTGGACGCACCCCGTTATAAGTAGTTTAACGAAACGTGTAATTTTTCTTTAATGACCTTTAACTGTTTTTATTGAATCATTTCTTCAGGTACAAATAGATTATTGATCTATTGCTTCACTTACAAAACGTAAATTTGCCTCATCACGACTTAATTACAACACTTTATTTAAAAAAAGTTTATTGCTGCTGGAAAGTTTTATTTTCTCCATACTTTTTTCGTGCACCGATTGGCCTTTTTGGGAGCAGTGTGCGGGTCCCCAGTGCACGAGGGGTCGCCTCGCAGCGGAAGGCAGCGTCTGCCCCCTGACACCCGACGCCCCCTCCACAAGCACAACATGATACACATTTACAAACGAGGGGATGGAGCGCAACAGCGATACTCGAACACGAGCACGTTTTTGGGGCGCGAGAGAACCCAACGCCTCAACAAAGAAAGTGTTCAATAGAACCCATGTCGTGCATTTCCGTTTTGCAAATGGGGAAATCGCGAAAAGAAACTCGGATACAAGAAAAAAGCAGAGAAAGAAAAGACCTCTCAAGGGCGACACGAATATTAAAATTTGAATTGAATTAAATTGGAACGAAACTTCACTTCGGATATTCCACACTTTTCAAATTCCATTCTCCAATATTGCACTTGAAGCTGGTTTGAGAAACATTCAGACTGGACAAAGAAAACGTCTCAACATCATTCAATTTGTTTTCGACTTAGTGGGCCCGCATTCATATTCAAAAGATCAGCTATCTCATATATCCTCTCAATATAGCCACCCAACTCAGCACGTATTCACCAACTTCCAAGTTTACCTCAGACCCACGCGCACATTCTTGCTTATACGTATCGACCCACGCTGCTGTTACCCCGCACAGGGGCCCCGCGTGCGTGGACAGCCCTGCCGTGCGGGGGCGCGCGCGCGCTCACGCGACGGGAGCACGCTCACACACGCGTGCGCTTCTGATCCCCTGCTGGTTGCTCGTGCGCGCGCGCGCGCGCGCGTGCATAATAAAGACACGGCATATCCATTCATGGATACGCGTTTCAACGCTCTCTGCCTCTGGGCCTGCTCTCGCGTTGGTTTAATGCACCCGACAGAGCGTTCAAATACTACCACATTTATTTTCTCTCCCTATCTCGTAAATATTAATGAAAATGGTATTCAAATTATATTACTGAATACGAATCCGCTACCAGCAATCGATGCACGTGCATTGCCAAAATTTTACGCCGAATTATTCGCCCTTCCTAATGGCACAGCGGGAACATCTGTTATTCATATGAATATTGCAACATTATTACCGTTTGTAGGTCGCGAAGCTAGCTTCCGTTTCAATTTGTTGAATTACGAATTCATATTGGATCCCATCTCCGGACGACATTTCTATAACACCACAAACCTTCTCGAGAACGATTTATGCTGTGGATGAGGTATCGTGCTAAATTAACGGACGAATTGGAAGAACTATTATAACCCACACGCTTCCTCTTTTTTTCCGCTTCAATATGATAGAGGAGGGGAAAAAACAAGGTACGAAAGCCCCCGGAAGCCTACATCGTACGCGCGCCGCCCCACCGCACACACGGGAGCCGTGAAAGTACCGTGTATGCCCACGCGGAAACGGTAACGCTTTCAGAGAGGGGTTCCGCAACGCCCCAAAATAAACTGCGCTTCCGATGAGCAAGCGATGCTGCACGGAGAGAGCCACTTGCGCAAGAGAAGGGGTCTCGAGCCAACCTGGCCGGCACGAACGGAGAACTGTCGTAAACCGGGGCACTAGCGCAATGGCTAAAACCGGCAGTGGCGTGTCGGCGTTGCGAAAGGGGGAGACCAAAGCACGGGGCAGCATCATAAGAGTTTACCAATGCGACCACAAAATAAAAGCGCTCAATCATCTTGTACATAGGTGTCTCTGCGGTGACTCATGGACAGCGTACTAACTCTCCGTGATGCGATCCCGGTTTCGATTCCTGGTCAGGGCAAAACCAGCTGTAGTTTTCCATTACAATCGTCTCGTCTCAGTTTCTATAGTGTGTGACGAACGAAATGCTCAGGCAGGTCAAGTATGCAAGATCCGGTGACGGGAATTTGTCATGTTCGGTACATGTCTCCCGTAACTGAAGGAGTTGATAATAATAATAAAAAAAAAGCATTGAAAGCCTGGAAACAACCCAGCTGACAAAAATCGGATTAATCCGACGCTTATTTATTTAATTCATATTGGCATATCAGGGGTAATGCGGAAGCCTTCCAGATCGCTCATCTCGCTGGCTCTGGTTCCAAGTCCACAGTAATTGTAGGCATGCTGATGTGATGTTGACGTAAATAAATGATGAAATAATGAAAGTCATCTCCGTCAACTTCATAGGTTTATTTAGACAGCCTGCTTTCGTCATCAGTGTCGCCGCGTGGCAAAAGTCGGGAGACTGCACCATCGCTGCCGCGTCCACCGCTTGCATCGCCAAACGCACTCGCGGTGCAGACCGCGCTCCGAAATACGCGCTGACGCAGCGGGGAGGAGGGGGGCGGGCAGTGCCGGGCGCGGTGGGGGGCAAGGCCGCCTGTACGCGCCAGACAAAAGAGAGGCGACGCGAGGCGACACGTCGCGTCGCGTCGCGGTCGGTGGCGCAGGAAGACGACGCGGAGGAGATCGCCCCGCCCCCGTACGCTCAATTACCGCTAGGCGGCGCACGGGGCAAGGACGCACACGCGCGCGTTTGGTTCACGTGTTACGAAACGTTCTTTACGAGCCCGCGTGGAACACATTGGGACGATATTTCACGGCAGGTGTGCTCACACACGTACATACAAATCGTTGGGCTCCGAATCCTTGCCAAGAAATAAATACGTTGTCTTCACTATTCGTCGTATATCAATTCTCCATCAACAGTGAATATCAACTGGTTATGACGGTGAATTTAAAAACGCTAGTTAAAGAAGAGCATACCCTCCCTGCTACGATCAGAACTTTGGTCCAACGAGTCGCAATCGCCATAGGCAGGCATCGTGGTCCCTTTGGCTTTCCGCCTTCACAGACTTGTCGAACATCACACTGATTCATAGAAGATGCGAGTTTACCTCACCTATATTCCATTTAGGTTTACGTATCCGGAACATATATTATATGTAATACCTGACAATGCTTCACCTTCCCGTGGTCTCTACAACGGATGTCAGGTCATTATTAATTGCGTATTCTTTGAAAACGTATGGACATAATAAATAATGTGTTTGTTCAAATATTCTTTACATTTTCAAAATATTTTATACTTATCACTACGTTTTAAAGGGGCTTTTCTTCAACGTTTCTGTTATCTACTTTACAGCTAAGAAACTTTTTGACATTTGGTATTTCGGAGTCTATTAAAATATCATCGGAAAACTTTACTTCACACAGAGCAAGAGCCACGAGTATTAAACGGTGAATAACGCATGCTGACGGTTCGCCTTCCTTCCGCGAGTCCGAATTGTGTCCTCGGCAGCGGCGGCGGGCGGGCAGGAAAGTGCTTCGCGTACACGGCTCTGCGCTCGCGCCCACTCGGGGTTCCGTTGCGCCAGCGGAGGGCGACGCGAGACGCAGGTGGCCGGGCGGTGGGCGTAGGCGGGCGACACGCGCTGCCGAGCACGCGCCCGGCCCCAGCGCCCATTCACGTCGCTCGCGGCCACGGCGCCTTGGGCGGAGCGGGCGCTGACTGCTTCGCAGGCACTAAACACGTGATCAATCGTGCGTATAATAACGCGATTGTTGCACTTCTTTTACACGGGGCAACGCGGGTAACACCTTTGGGCACCGGGATTGATATTCAGGACGATTCATAACGTCACTTTGGCCTCCGTCCACCACAAACTTGTTAAGGTTAGCCATCTGGTCACTACTCTGTGCTGGAATATGTCTGTAGAGTTGTAGACATGAAGATGCAAAGTAGTTACATGTGAAGCAACCGTGTCCCCGTTTTCCTTACATATATGGTAACCTGCTTCCATCCATGCTGCGACCACTCCTTCACATTGGACGCTTCTGAGGGTGGTGACTCGTGCATTACTAACACTTTATTTCGGAACATGCATACGCTGAGCCCTTTCTTCAGCGAAGCGTTTGTGTCATCACCATCTCTGCTTTCATTTTCAACACTCTGATTTCTCACTTTGCTTCTCCCATCATCTCCTACCACTCTGTCCCCTACGATTAACTCCGACCTTGACAAATTCTGCAATCGAAACAACTACACCCCGAATTGCATTCTACTGAGAGTGCATACACGTTTTGCCCTAAAGAGCAGGACACATTCAGCAGGGAATAAGAGGACCATCATGGTCTCTCGCCTTTCTTACCGCGTATCCTCTGCGCATATTGGCACGTCCGCGCCGGTGCGCTTTAGAGCTGCAACCCCTTCATCAGCGAATTTTAATCCCGTCGCGACCCTGGTTTCCCGCACACCTGCGCCTTCTCCACCGCCGCATGTTCCCTATCCACGCAGACAGGTTTAAGCCGTCCCCGCTCTTTCCAATCAGAGTTACACATCTAATTGTATACTACTCAAAGTGCATGAGCTACTGGTGTACACAGAACTCCTTCCGCAGAGAATGAGAGCGCGACCATTTCTTGTCTTCTTTCCCGCCCACCTGTACAGTATCTGCAGCACCCGAGGAGCCTCAGAGCTAAACACTCTCCTGCAGCGAATTCAAGTACCAACTTGATTTTCCCGCTCACTCCCAACCATGTACATTAATCTCATTCACCTGCGTGTCCTGTCCGCGCCATAGAGCTAGAACGCATTCCCTCTTATGCAGGGACTGAGATTCAAATTACGCACTTCCTTTGGCGAAACGCTTGTGGTGTTTTAGGGGACGCGCGCATGCGCACTGACGCTCCTCCTGTTCCCATAACCACTCTGCGCCTGCGCCAGAGCTACACTTCTATTTTTTTTTAAAGTGGCCTATGACATTGGAACATTTTCACACCTTCTGCCTTATAAAATGAATCCTTTTAATCAATTCTCGAACGACCTTCTCAATGGGGCTAGTGCTTTAAGAAATGTGCTTACCACTATTAAAAATGTTCGTTTAAAAGGCAGGAGGTGTAGCAATGACCTAATGTCATCGGCCACCCCCACCCCGTTACCCCGAGTGCCAGCAGCAGCGTCTGCTGCGCCGCGCCGCCGCCCGGGCCCCGCTCCGCGCGGGGCAGGGCCCGGGCGACGGGCGCGCGCGAGGGCCCGGCTCAGCGCTGCATCCTGCAGGTGGTGCTGGAGCGGGTGATGGTGGCGGAGCTGCCGCCGCTGGCCTTCCCGTCACAGGTGGCCGAGGTGCGCCTGGTGGAGGCGCAGGTGCGCGCCGTGCGACGGGACGCCTTCTACGCCCTGCAGCTCAGCGCCGTCGCCGTCGTCAACTCGTCGCTGCAGCAGGTGGACGCCGGCGCTTTCTCCGCGCGCACCCTCGTGCTGCAGCTCAGCGTGCAGGGTTCGCGCGTGGGGTGCCTGGCCAGCGGCGCGCTGCGCGGCGCCGTCGGCAACCTCTCCATCGTCGACTCCCAGTGAGTGGCACCCCGGACCTCCTCTTGGGAGCATGTACTCAATTCAATCATGATACAGCCAGATTTACTTCCAGTTCGAAGGAAAGCATACGAAATGCACATAAAAATGTATTCAGCTCTTCGTCACCCATCTCCCCACGGACAATGTACACCGGATGTCACGGAATCCGACTGCCGCCTATTCCATCTTTTAGAACGGGATGTTCAAATCCCCATCACTCCGTCAGAAATGTGAACCGTTCATACTGACTCATGATTCCCTAGGAATTTCTGCGTTTCTCTTGCCTGTCAGTCGGTAGTCTCCTGCATCAATGGGCTTCTCTTCGACTGGTAGTTTATACATTTTGCTAATTATAAAATCATTAATCACAGCAGTATCAACTAGACATTCTGCTAATTTCACAGTTATCTTCTTATACTCGTACATCACTTTTCCAGCTTCATATATACTACTTCTCAACTACACAACACCAGATTTCCTAAAGACGCTCAGTTATTGACCTAAACATCTTCCAAATTACTTAATTTCAAAGCTAACTTTACGCATCTTCACGCCATGTTTGCCCAGAAGCTTTCGCCCTCGCTTCCAGCCCGCGTGTTTTCTCAGGCGTCCGCGGAGGGGGCGGGGCTTTCAGCGCGCCAGCAGCGAGTGCACATCCCTCGCGGCGCCTTCGTCGGCCATCTCCTCCTCCTCCTCCTCCGCCTCCTCCAGCGGGAGAAGCGGCGCTTCCGCGTTCCGAGTACGTCGCCGCTCCCCCCTCCCCCTCCCCCTCGCTCCTTCGTCCTCCGCGCGTTCGCGTTCCTCGCCCACGCCCCTCACCCGCGTTTCCACGCACTTCCTCGGCGGGAGAAAATGAATGTTGGGTGCCCAGTCGAATAAGAATCTTTAAGTATTCATTCTTCTTTGAAGGTTTTCTGTTCATTATTAATGAGTTTAATTTTTTTTCCAGTGCTTTGAAAATCTTCTCCATGCAGTCTGTGGTAATTTCTATCATATTTCTTTACTTCTATCTCAACAATTGGTTTCAACACTTCATTGTATTCGATCACTGAAGTTTTAATTTGAAAACTTCTTAGGAGAAACTTATGTCACTTATTTTTCGCTTTCCCTTATCAACAGGAAAGTATCCACATTACATACTGAATCCGCGTTACATTCCTTTTGCCAACGGACAGGGCGGGAGGTTCTGTCGAAAAGGCAGAGCGGATCAGCTCGCTTCACACTCGAGCCCAACTGAATCTTCGTCGCCTGGCTGCGTTTTCGGGAACGCGCTTGTACGCGTAGCCACCTTCCGTTTACGCCCGCCCACGCCTCCCCTCCCCGACCCCACACCCTCGCCCGCGCTTCCGCTCTTTCATTTCCCCTTTACAGCTCATTCACTCAACCGCCGGCATTAGGCGGAATGACCCAGTAAGGACTTAAAAGACTCTCGCTACGCCTCGAAGCCGAAAGAAAACGATCCTCTTACACTCACGCCCCCTTTAGTCTTGTTTTCTTATCAATTTTTCTTCGTAAAACATCAATTTGTTATCTGCTATACCGCTTCAGTATCAGCTCGTCTTTACATCTAATGCGCATCGCCCTTGCTTGTGTCTGGAGAACGTGCGTCGCCGTCAGGCAGTAGAGATAGTGGGGTGAATTATTATTAGACGAGATCCCTGCCCCGGCTAATGTGTTTGTGTTTGGGAAGTGTGTCTACTGTCGACTCCCTCCTGCCAATTATCTTCCTTTCTAAACGTGGATGAAGCTGACGGGACATTCTGTCTTCCTTACGAAAGAAGAACGATCTGGAATGAATGCATTAATTAGGATGTAGTTATTTTATCTGACAGAAAACTTCATGTCAACTTTCACAGTTAATCTCACAATTTTCAATGAGAGATTTTCTTTTTCAACATTTGTGGTATGTTTCTCTCAGTTGCAATTATAAATCGATTGAAATCCGAGAGACTTGGCATAGAAATATTCCTCTACGTTTTAAGCTCATAGTGATACCATTCTTTAGAAAATGTAAGAGATATTTGGAAAAGAATTAAGACAGTAATTCATTGGCACTTACAGAAGCAGCTCGAAACTGGTATTTCAAGTTACTAAATAAATCACCACCGTGATATAATTCAGCGCCAATGAAGAGCTATATGTGAACCTCGTCATTTAACGTGTCATGATATCCTTTCTCATCACACACTGCTTCTATGATTATAATTCTCAGCACATTGTAGTGAGCATCTAGCAAACTTAAATGGCGCAAAAACTTTACCGTCCCACCACTTCGCATTTTATTTTTCAATTTAAAGTAGCAAATTGTCAGATCAGTTTCCAGCACAGGTACTATTAATTTATTTCTGAACTTTCTTTGCGCATCTGCTTAGTACTACAAACACGTGGCGTCTGCCAAATAAACATAGGATGAGAGAGAAGACTTTTCATTCAAGATAATACATAATTTTACCTAATACTATACACTTCTCATTTGCTTTCATCTGCTCAGTTTGAAGGATATCTAGCACGATCTGAAACTCTTTTTTAACAATTTCAGTAAGCACGCACTCTTTTGCACTATTTCCGAGTAATCACAAATCTAAACATTGAGGAACTTGGGAATTTTCAAGACTGTCCCAGTGACGCCGCATTTTTACCAACGTGCACAGCATTATGAGACTTTTCTCATCTCTGAAATGTACCAAGAGCTGATCACTCGTTTGGATCTGGTAACGGAAGCCTTCGACTTGGAAAACACTGGACTTTGAACGTTAAAAAAAGAAGGAATAGCGTATTGTTTCTTCAGCTTGGTCCAATAAAGAAATTGCTGATAATGAATTTTAGTGCATCTATTTCTTTAGCGAAATACCAAACTGCGCTCTGTTAAGCACATTGTTTAATTTCGTGTCTTCGGAGCTAAAAAATGAGTTTAATCGAGTAATTGTTTCAATTAAAATGCTATAATAGAAGCCAATTAATAATAACAGATGTACACAAAATTTTAAAAAAGTTGTCAGCTCCAAAGACTTCATTGTAGAATTTCACAGAGTTTTCTTTAAGAATAAGTGGATGGTCCTTGCGCAATTCGGATTGTGGTAGCTCACGTGGACATACATGGTGCAGCATTTGGGCTGAGGAGTGTTTTTTATTTTAATTGTATGTGCGTGTGTACGCAGTCGCTTGACGGCGCGCGCGGTGCGTGTTGTGTGGCGCAGGGTGGAGACGGTGGAGGAGGGCGCGGTGGACATCACGGTGGCCAAGGTGGCGCTGGAGCGCTGCAGCGTGGGCTGCGTGCGCAGCGCGGCTCGCCTTCGCAAGTGAACTCGTGTTGGTGCGCGGCAACTCTTCCGCGAGCTGCAGACGTCACGCCCTCTGGCGCGCCTTCTCAGCGCATGAGCGGCGGTTGCACGCCTCGAGTGTGCGCTGGCAGAATACAACGTCACTCGGACCTGCGGCCGGTCGGCTGGGCCGCGTCGCCGAGCCGCGCGATCCGCGCCGGCGCGGAGCGCGCCGCAAGCTCGTCGTGAGGTGAGGCCTGCGGGGCCACGGCACGGGGCCCATTTTAATACCTCGTCCAGTCCCATCGGCAGTGCAAAGTTAACACATCAATGAATAATGGCGATTCGCTAGGATATTAATATTACATTTTGACATTTTGACACACACATCCTCTGTATCTAAGGACGCCAAGACTTCACTTACGCGAGTGCAATATGACGGTCGGCGACGGTGTTTACAGCTAGGGCTAAGTAAAATAGCGGAGGTTCGACTACAAAACTGAGATCGGTTTTGTGAGAGAAGTATTATAATAACACAACTGTTTTAATAATTTCTAATAATCCATGATTTCCTATTCACTCTTACGTAACCCTGTCACTTTTCGCAGGATAAATTATTCAATTTAATTCATTGGAATTTTTTCAAAGTGGATAAAACGTTGTACGATATTTACATTGTATCATCTTATTGTAATAATCGATTGGTTATCAAACTCGTCATATAATAAGATGTCGTACAATACCGTAAATGATTATTTGAATCCTGTCCAATCCCGAACTTTCGCGACGAGCTGTATAGCTGGGTTGAAGTCGAACTATGCCTGACACTTAGAATGACTGCCCGCCGACGAACCGACACGTACAAGGAATAGGGTTCACAGTAGCATTGAGATGAACACTTGGCTACTTCAGTCACCGTCTTCCTCCACCTTCTCTGTAACTTTTAATCTACGGGTGTTTTTATGTCACGTTCAAAAGCATGAACGTGAATGACAATTGAGGGTAATTACAAGTCTTTGCGTACGTCTACATACTACGTAACTAGTTGAATGTACCATTCGGGCGTGTTTACATTCAAAAGCCTCTTATGACTCTATACATTATTCATCACGACAGCTTCGGTTTGGAACTGAATTTACACAGTTCTCAATGTTAGATAACAATACGCTCTATGCACACATAATTAAGATCGAAATAAGCAGAGTGAGAAACAGACATTAAAAGCTGCTACCTTCAAGGCGAACTGCACATTTGCACAATATAACTGTATTCATCACCTGAATCTACATCTTCATTATTGGTTCTTAACACGTGCTGCAGTTTGCCGCCGTGACGTAAAGTTCTAAAGTTCATCAGCTAAACGAAAAGGATCTTCTGATGCCAGAATGGATATCAACTTAAATCTCACTTGCACAACTTACTCATATGTAAATCATGAATACTTCATGCAATTCTTATCGATTGTTTTCTTTCCTGGTACAGAGTTACATCTCCCTTACAATTTTTCACCTGCCCCGATTGCCTTAGACTCTTTCCCTGTGATTCTCTTCTTCTCCATCTTTGTTCTCGCCGAGAGCGCTCCCCTCACTGCTCGCTTTGGCTTGGAGCGCGGTGTGTGATCGCGTGGCATGTCGCGTGTCGTTGCGCGCAGGTGTCGGGGCTGCGCCTGGAGGCGGCGTGCCGCTGCGACCTGCGCGAGCGCCTGCTGGGCGGCGAGGCGCCGCTGGCGGCGGCGGCGTCGTGCCGCGTCGACGCCGCGCTGGCGCGCTGCCTGGGCGTGCTGCGCGAGGGCCGCGCGCGCGCCCTCGACTACGAGGCGCGCGTCTGCGACCAGTCGGAGCGCGTGCTGGTGTGCGAGGCTGCGCCTCCCGCCGCGGGCGCGGGCAGCGGAGGCGGCCTCGACGAGCTGCCACCGCCCTCCGCCGCCGCCGACACGCCCGACCGCGGCAGGAAGGTCAGAAGCCGACACGCCTCTTCCCACTTGTCTTCACACGCCTATTCACCGGCCTACATTGCGACAACACAGCGGCTTCTTAGGAGAGGGAGAAAAAAAAACTTTGCAAAGTTTCATTTACAATGGAATAAAAATATGATCCTTCATTCTTTCGCTAGAATTCGATCAAAAATGATCTCATTTTTACGATGATACGATCTTAAAACGGCTAGGTTTTGAGGTGTGTGTTGTTAAAATTTAGTAATAGATGTACAGAAACTATGTTCAGAGAGGAAACGTATTACAATTGCTTCAACAATATCCCAAATTTTCGGTCGTAAAATCCGTGTTTAAGGTTGTTTTCAGCTCTAACTTCGCACACACGTCATGATTAATGCCTATTAGTGCTGTTCTAAAGATAGTGATGGTTGGTGTAGGTGGCGAGAAAATACCCGCAATTCTAAATGCCTTAATGACGAGTGAATGTATGTACTTACGCTTAACAAAAGGTGCCAATATTCCCTTTCATACACATATGGAGATTCGAACGATTCTTAAGATCATTAGTAGGTGCGGGTGCCTTTGCGCTGGAAGCAAAATTACGGGGGTGGAATATCTTTCTGTGCTTAGGTAGAAACACATTATTTAAGATCTGATTGCGATTTTATGGAAAGCTACATCTTATTATTGTAAGTCGCTTCTAAGCTACCTTCAATAAATTTAATTATGGCTTTGATCTCGTGGCTGCGGACAAGTCCTGACTTCAAGGCACCAGTTTGAGAAAGATGCAAAACATTAGTAGATCTCACTCAACCAAAATTTATTTTGCAGAAAACACCCAATTGCAATGCAAATAGTATTTGATATGCTGGCTAAATAATCGTAAGGCATAACTTCAACACATTCTCATCCGACAATCTACTATTGCCGACCGGGCTGAAGACATAAACAGTTATTTATTTAAAAATGAAATCTTTGTCACTATCAACCGAAATAGTACAAAATTCGTATGTTCCGAACTGCGATTTCTGGGCAATTCTTGGCACGTGTACAGCGAAAATCTCTTTATCGCTCTAAATCTAGCGTAAAAATTTACTATCGTCACTCTTGGCAGACTCGTTACTATACTACAACACTACATAAATTTCCCGTACGCGTTCATACTGCCAAGTCTTTCCGCAAGTATTTTGTTCGTTCAGCCTGAATGAATAGAAAACGAGGGCGGGGTTCGCAGACAGCATCCCAACAGACACTACAGAGCGTGCCAACACGTTTTGCGACGCGGGTGGTCCACAAAACATTACAGTTTACTCGCCAAAGAGGGTCGTTATCGCTCCTTTTATTCGGAAAGGAATCACTAATATTGCAAATAAAGATGAGTAAGAACAGCTAAGCTTAAAATGTCACACATATTGAGACACTCTTCAGTGAAGCAGGGGCTTAAAGAGGAATTTACGTAAGTTCTAATAGGGAAATAAAGTCGCCGGATCGCCTAGCTACCAAGAAAGTAAAATGTGAGGCATCTTCTTCTCTTGTCTTCAGAGGGCGTTACCTGCCGTGCCTTCACTTACGTGAGTAGGATACGCATTAATTATATAGTTTCCCGTCACGTTAAGTCAATTTGAAATAAATGAATTTATTTTATTCCTAAATTGTTCCTATTGTTACTACTACTTCCTTACTCCTTACCCGAAAGAAAGTCAGGTAATAATAAGGTTTTACTTGTAATATTTCTAAATGATACTTTCATCTCGAAATTCCATCAATAATCCTTTGCAATGCGTTTCACGAGATCAAGGTCAAGCACTCCGCTATACATGTAGGTTTCGCGGAGCACCCGAGGGCTAGGGGGGCTAGGGGGGCTTGGGCGGCGCGTGGCCCCAGGAGGCAAGAGGAACGCCTGAATGGTCATACCGGGAGGAGGTTGGGAGAGTAGGCTGGACGGGACGGGCGAGCACGGCATGTGGGGACAAGAAAAGAGGGTGAAGCAAGGATGGAGATTAGCAAGGAGGGCGCGGGCCAGGGCAAGGGGAGGCGTGGTTGGGGTGTTCCGGGTAGGGCAGGGCAGGGCAAGGCAAGGCACGGCAGTGTGAGGCAAGGCGGGGCGGGCAGGCGGGCGGCGGGGCGAGTATTAGAAGCAGAGGTACGTACGGATAGGGCAGTGTGGGTCGAGGCGGGAGCGGTCACCAAAACGGGCGGAGGCGGGGCAGAGGCGAGCAGGTGTCTGACACGTGCGTGTGCGTGTGTGTTGCCACGGTGCTGCCGCGGGCTGGTGTTCGCTGGCGGTGGTGCTGGGCTTTCGCTGCTGTCTGCGGCGTCGGGCGCGCTCCGGTGGCTGCAGTCGCGCATAGGGCTACTAAGCCAGGGCGCGGGCCGCTGGGCGCCGCCGCGTCGGCCGCCTCGTGCCTGGCGCGAGGGGCGTGGGGGGGGGGCCCTGTGGCGGCGCGGGGCGCCCGCCACCGCGCGCCCGCCGCCGCCGCCGGGGGCTCCCCGCGCGCGCACGCCCACCACGCCGCCGCCGCCGCGCACTACACCGAGCTGCGGCGCGGGGACCCAGCCGGCGCCGACGCCGACGACCCCGACGAGGTGAGCCCTCCACGCCACTACCAGAGGACGAGCACACTCGGGATTCGGCGAGCGCTTGCTCGCTACTCGCCCAATAACGAATGTGCGGAACCGCCTTAATTGTACTTGTTTGTACCCTGCACACAGGCAGTTAGGAGCATAAGGTATTCAGTTGATGTAGCATCGTGTACGTTTACTCTTCACTCCATTCACTTCATCAGGAATCACATCAATCTAATAGCTCCCTGTTTCCATCAAATCCCGTTTATTCCAACTAAGCTTAATGCTACTGCAAGGTGAAGCAAGCACTCTATTTACAATACCTGCAAGAGATACTATGTTAAGAATGGTTTCAATAAGGAGAATCAAATGACGATCGCCAAATAAAAATAAGTCGAAAAAGTATATCATTAGAGATTGCTGTAGGTACTGCTGGTTATTAATTATTCCAATATAAAATACCATGCCTGTTGTCTTTGAAAGCGCTTCATAAATATTCAAATGAATTCATTCCAGAACCGAAGCATTTACGTATATTGAAAGCGCTGACCATTTTAGGTTCGTAGGTAAACATGTCAAATTAGAGAGGGGCGCACATAAAAGTGGTTGGGTGATGGGTCAGAACCGTTTCTTTTCCCACCCCTCCAGGTACAGGAGGGAAAGGTGCGCGATTAAAAAGGAGGGAAAGCGAATTGAGAGATTCCATTTCACCCATTTCCCAATCATGCTATTGAAAGCGCAGCAC